GAAAATAAGAAAGAGAGATTTATTTGGAGGGGACATTTATTTTGGAGAAGATAATACCCATATCTGGACGCTTGAGATAGAACCTAGATGAGCGGACAGATTTAATGTGGGACCAGTCTCACTTTAGGCACTTGTTGGTAATTAATGAAGCACTAATTTGACTTTATACAAATGTTTGAGGGTGATTCTACTCAATTCAACAAAGTCTTGTCCCAACGTTTTGGGGGTCAACTACATGAATCTTGTTTTGCCATTGAGTTATATCAAGGGCAATGTTTTTAGTTAAATTATAAGTTTCATATCTTTTTTTATGATTTCATTAAAAGTTAATTTTGGTCTTTCTCTACCCTTATGTTTACCATCAATAGCTATCATATCACTTTCTCACCTATGTCGTAGGAGGCCATCTATAAATATGTCCAAACCACCTGAGTTGATTCTATCTGTCTTAGTCTTACCACACATCCATCTTAACTTTTGAACATGTTGTTTCTTAGTTGTCCAACACTTAGTATTGTAAAGCATAGCGGGCCTTATAGCCGTTCTATATAATTTTTCTTTTAATTATAGGGGTATACGTCTGTCACATAATACATTGGATACATTCCTCAATTTAGTCCATCCAGTATTAATTCTATGCCTAACATCATAGTCAATCTCACACTCTCTATGAATAATATACCCTAAATATTTAAAGTGTTCACTTTTTGAGGGTGATTATGGATTTTTTTTTATTTTTTTTGAGTTTAGTAGCCTTTTAGAAGTAGTATAGATTTTAAGATGATTCTTATCGAATGCATTGGTATGTGAGAGTGAGAGAGAGAGACTATAGATTAGAAACCTTAGTTGATGCAAGACAAATTTAGTTACAAGGGTTCAAGATTTGTGATTGAAATGCTCAAGGGAATTATGGGAATTAAGGGGTCTTAGTTGGTGAAAACAACTACAATGCTATGTTATAGTGTTTGAGATTAGTTTGCCTACTGTCTAGAGTTTCAACTTGATCTTACTTTGTTTGGATTCATACTTGTCTAGATTGGCTTCACATTGCTGAATAATGCAGTAGCACTATTGATATTGTGGCAACTGCTTGGTTAGAGAAGATATGCGACCTCCTAGCAAGTCTATTAGAAAGAGGCTTAAGTTAGCACTTCAAATTCAATAAAAGGTTCTATTGTCGTTTGGTTTTGAGAGAACCCCCAATCCCTTACTTACTAAAAGTTAGAAAAAGCAAGTCAAAGGTGGACAAGTTGTCTAAACCAAAGACAAATATATCTGAAAAAGAAGCAGAAGTTACATTTCGCATGAAGCTATCCAACTCACTGTAATGCAAAAAAGAGGTATATTCTCCAACTTCTTAGACCCAGGGGTCCAAATCTCAAATATATTCAACTTCCCCGCACTTCTCCTAAAAAATTATCGCATTCTTTCCAACCAAATAACTACACAATAGAACAAAAAAAAAAAGCTAGCCCCAATTATTCTCCACCTTTATTACTCCCCTTTCCCATAACATCTAAGCATATCATAGATAACATAGTTCTCAAGGCCACCCAATGTAAGAATAAAGGTTCCACGCTTTCACTATTACCTTTGCACATAACACATCGTTGCAGTAGAAGACAAACCATGAGTTTCCATCTTTGAAGCCTGTCATAAGTGTTAATTTTACCATGAGCAATTATCCATACATGATTTGCCCCTTTAAAAGCACTTTAGCTTTTCAAAACACCCTCGATAGAGGAAACTAAGGAATAAAGGGATCATCAATTAAAGATTTAAATGAGAAAATACACATGGAGAGTCATGAGTGCAACTCCTTTTATCTAGAAAATCTTGGGTAACATTATTAAACAAGAAAGAACGTCCACCAACTCCAACGAAAAGCAAAATTCCATGACATAGGATTTGAATAGGATTGAATGGAAGAAGCAATCTTTTGATTATAAAACTCAGAGTTGATAAAGACGTGGAATAAACTAGAAAAGGACCACTTCTCTACTCATCTATCCCCCCTAAAACGAACACTAGTATCATCTCCAACAATGAGCTTAAGTGTATGAGAAAAGAGAGGCAACCCCTAAGAAATAAACTTCCATGGACTTAAAAAAACTACCCTCACAATCCCATTAGCATCCCACCCAATGGCTTATAACCCATATTTGCCTCTAATAATGGAACACCACAATGAATCTTATTTCAAAGGAAACCTCCCAAGCCATTTTTCAACCAAAGCTTCATTCCTTTTCAACAATTTCCTACCAAAAGGCCACCTTTAACCCTAGATCTAAACACCACCTCCCAAGATATCAAGTAATCCTTCCTACTCTCTCCCCCATCCTCCGCATAAGAAGTATATCCTCTGCATAAGAAGTATCTAATCATCCATTCAATTTTCTTAGCTACCAAAACAAATAACTTGAAAAGAGAAAAAAGTAAGAATGTTAGCAAACTAACGTTAACCTACCTCCCCTAAAAATAAAGACTTTGTTCTTTTTTATGCACCTCTAGGTTGATGAGGTTTTTTAATTTCGTCATATTGGTTGACCTTGTTTTTGTGGTATTTAATAACTAAAAGTAGGACATATGGAAGTTATTTGCAATATTGTAGTACCCTCTGTTGAGACAATATTGAAGGTCACCATGAGAACTAAATCTCAAATTTACATATCCTTCACAATCTAGTCCACATATAAGTGATGGAGCATGAAAACTGGTGTTGGTGGTGGAAAAGTAGAAACTTTATTTGGTAATCTCATAGTAGGTTTCGAGTTGTTTCGATAAAATGGTATATCCTCCAATCAGGGGTGTCAAACGTGTCGGGTTAAACAGTTACATGTCGGGTTAAACGGGTGACGGGTGGAAAACATGTAAACTCATATACAATACGTTTAATAAATTGATAAAAAATCTCAACACGAACACGACCCGTTTAATAAACGGGTAACACGACATGACTCGTTTAATCTGTTTAATTTTAAAAAAATTATATCAACAAATTTTAATACTCTATTTTTTTTACTACCAGTTGAACTTACCTCAAGAAAGAGAAATTTATAGCCAAATCTTACATAAAAATCAGACTTGAAGGCTAAAAAATAAGGCAAGAGGCCACAGCCCTTTTCGTCTCCCCTCATTTGCCGCTGTGGGACAAAAACTAAAGGCATTGGTTTGCCTTTATCTTTGAACTGCTCCCCATCTCTCCTCCTTTGTCTTTGCACTACTGTTTGACTTCTTTTTTTAAAATTTTTTTTTGTATTGATTTGTTTTACTTCTTTTTTTTTTTGGCCAATTTTTTAAAATAATTATTATTTTATTATTATATTAATTTTATTTAAACGGGTAAACGTGTGATAAATGGTTTGACAGGTCTTACTCGAACACGACCTGTTTATTAAACGTGTCTGGCGGGTCCACCCGTTCACCACCCAAACCCGTTAATTCCTGTCAAATTGTGTCGGTTAATCATTTCCTGTCAAATTTTGACATGCCTACCTCTAATAGAATTGGACTAATACTAAATCCAAGGGAAAAATAATCAAATATGCTTCATATACAAACTTAAAAACTGGAGGCATGGGGAGAACATCAATACCCTGATGATTAAAAAAAGGGTAGTCTCAAGATTCATGGGCAATTTGGGATGAGAAACACATAAAGAAACAGTATGCTTGTCATTCATGTAGGCATGCTATTTGTTTATAGGTGTGATGCCAAACATCTTGGAACATCATCTGCACAAGAAAAATCCCCGCACCTAGAATGATACTGGAGTCAAATATAATTGTTCTAAATGTGAACCTTTATTTTTCAAACTGTTGCTATGAGTGAACTTTTTTAATATTCTTTTAGATTATTTTGTTAATACCATATAGTTAGATGCTTTAAAATTGAATTTCATGCTAGTCCATGCATGACAATTTTATGTAAGTCATGAAAAAAGGCATCCTTTTTGCCATAATGTTTCTAGTGAAAATGATTGAAATCATGTATGGTAGTTCCACGAAAGTGCTTTCCCAAATATCTTACCTTCTTGTTTGCATTCTAATGCTTGATGATTTGTCACAAAACATAAATGGTTCCAGCTCTTAAGGCCTGTGATCTTGACAAGTTCCTCAAATCTAAAGGAAAAGACCCTGCCTATATTGACCTGGAGGTAATATGAAGTCCGCTTCCTAGTGTGACTTCATCAACTTCTTTTTGATTATTTGATGAAACATGATCTGTTTTGTTGTAGGCTAACCCTTCAGTGGGAAAGGATCAACCTCCTGACCTAGCTGCTCTAGTTCCATCTGACGTGACAGTCTTGCCAGATCCTCCAGAAATAATATCTGCCCCGCAAATTGCCGAAAAAAGTCATGTATACGTGAATGATAAGTTGACAGCTATTACAGGTATTATACTGTAATTTTATGACTTACACTGCCTGGTTAGGTACTTTTAATGATATTCAGATGTTATATTTACCCAAAAAATATCAAGTTCTGCAATGCTTATTAAAATTGACCTAATTCTAGCTGGATTTGTCCTGACAAAGTGGCAGCAGCCTTCCTCCACAAATCAAAACATATTTTACCTTTAAAAAACTTAGAAAGAAACACAAAAGCTCTTAAATAACATATGAAGCATATAAAGTCTGTCAGCATATCAGAAAATAATGATTCTATGAAGATTATCACCATTCATCATTCAAACTATGTAAGAAAGGTGAATTAATAGAATATCATTAGTTTTTTGACAAGATGATTGCAAATTCAAAAGACTAGAAAATGTTGTTCCTAGAGTTGCTGGATCCATCTAACATTGCCTGGCCTGCTGGAGAGTGTGACACATGCAGTGTATACACCAAGTATTTGAGCATTTTATTTGAGAAGGCCTAGACTCATTCTGGATCCTTAGGTAGGATCCGGCTCAAAGAACAAGGAAGAGCATTTTATCAAATTGAAGTTGCTGTTGGGCGCCGCCCCCCCCCCCCCCCCCCCTTCCTCTTTTTCTCTTTTGTCCTTTCTTTTTTCTCCCTCCTACTAAATGCCCTCCTCTTGGTCCTCTCTTTGTTGGTGTCTTGAAATAGATCCTTTTATAAACTGAACCAGTTTATGTTATGCGTTTTCATGTGTTCCCCTAGTTTATAAACTGAACCATAGTAGACCTTTTTATTATTTTCATTTTCATGGAAAGGATTTAGATCTTTAGCAAATGTACCACTTGTACCCATTCTTCTTTTCCTATCAAAATTACCTTGTTTTTTTTTCACTATTTGCATTCACAAAATACATATAGAATCTTTGAATATTTAAAAATCCTATTCATTGTTTGGAAGGATGGATGTATTTTACAATAGTAAGCAAACAAATCGTTTGATTTACTCCATAATGTTTATACTAAAGTTACATGTGCCTTGTTCAACATGCTGGCTTTTGAAATCAGAAGATCAGGAATTTGCATTCTCATATTCACCTTTTAAATATTGATAGCTTATGATCCAATATTGATCCTGATGACTATATTACCAACTCCTATGAACTATAACAATATTGTAGAAATTTGCCAATATGCCAAAGTCATGGTATTGACAAACTTCCATGGGTTAAGGACTGAGTATTGCTTCTAGTTCTTTTAGTTCATGAACTCAGTTCTCAGGTCTTCCCAATATTATTTGCTCTTCCAAAAGTGAAGCAAACGTAAATTACTCTTATGACTATTAGACATTGAGAAATATTCCTTACAGTACTGTTTGAAATTACTGTGATAATGATGTTGGTACTGGTTATGTATATCATGGAGTTCTAGTCTCATTGAAATACTCATAGCTCTAATAGGATAAATGTTCATTCATTTCATTAAAAAAATCTAAAGGGATTTTTTGGTATTTTTTATGTTAATGACGCTCCTAAGTGTGTGGTTGATGATCGGTAACCAGATTTTCTTGTTTATCATTGCTGACATGTTTTCTTCTCTCTTTGCTATAGCAAACACCGTCAATCCATCCAAGGATTCACAAAAGAAAAAATTGACCAATTTCAGAGACTCGTCAAGCTCCTTTACGGATACTGAAAAATTTGTTGAAGAAATCCTAGATAAAACGTCAGCCATAATTTTTGCAGAGGTAAGTAGACTACTACAGTTTTCGGTTTCAACTTCACTCTTTCCGTTTTGGGTCTAAGAAATCAAATAATACAGATCAAAGAGGAGAATATAAAGCAGCATGGGGAACAACTTGGTGGTGTGGTATCAGAAACTATAAGAAAACAGCTTGCCATGGAGTTGAAGAACCTAGCAGTGAGTATTTAGTTTCGTTATTTCTGATAAACTCGGAGTACTTCCCTGTGATAATCAGACAGTGATTGTTTCTTATTTCACTAGCTGTAAATTTTGACAACTTTTGGTTTGGAGCAGCGTTATGTTATTTGGCAAGTAAGATATCAAGAGAATCTTAGAAATGAAATTCTGGTTCTTTAGCTTTCTTATGGATTTTGGATTTGGGGATGTTTAAGTTTACCACTGTTATTAAGTTTTCGGAGTTCAACAGATAGAGATTGCATAGTCCCTATATTGACAGACATGGCCATGCCTATCCCTTCAATCTCTTACTATAGTGTCATCATTTACATATCTACATTTACCGTTCTTTAATTTAACATCATCAATCTCTCTCGGTGTAGCAAAATCATTTAACTTCGTTACACATTTCACCTATATGACATTCCTGCTAAACAGACTGTGGTAGCTGTATTTTTGTTCGATGATTTCATTTTAGTTATTGTTTCATTCTTTTAGTCGATCAATTTCAGTTTTTTTGGACTGCTCTATGACTAATAGTGGATGTCTTTATTGCAGACGATATTCAAGAACACAGCGTACACAGAAGGTTTTCATGCCGGCACTTACATCCGACCAAAGCATATGTGAAACCGAAGTTTATTCACAACAGTGGGGTGCTGAAATGATTTATCAAAGAGTCTCTGTGTATGACATTCTATCATTCTTCACTGTTAATCGATGCATCTAACTTTAATGGACAATTCATCTATTTGGCAATGGCTTTGTGTGGGTCCTTCATAGAAATCTTAATACTGTCTTACATTTCCTGCATAGGTTCCTGTTCATCTTACGTGGCTTCAGTATATGAAAGTGGTTACCAATATAGTAGACGACGATCAAATCTCACTATGAGAACCACGCAAATTGTCTATTGAACATTTCTTAGCTGCATTTGGTAGGTGGTAATGAAACATGGGAATGAAATGACCATTACTTAGTAATACTCATAATGTTTGTGAAAATTCATTCCCATTTTCATGGAATGTTTAATCTCATCAACATTAGGATTTGTAATTTCTCAATATTTGGTGATATTTCTCATTATTAACTACCATCACTTGTCACTACCACCACCTGAACCCAGGGTCAGGGTCGGGTTTGGGTTTGGGGTTAAGTCTATGATAAGGATTGAGATCCAGGTCCTAAGGATTTTTCAAATATTTATTTAACTAAATATTTGAGTAAATTTTTATTTCTATTTTAAAGCTTAATCTTAATTGTTGTCATATATTAAAATGATAATTTACATTATATTTTGTTCTTACCTTATGTCCGTTCACATTGATTTCTTTCTCTTGTAGAAACATTACTGCATACCAAATAGCGAGTGTTCTACTTGTAAAAATTTAATTGTCGATCAATCAGTAAATCACCCACCATAGAATGCTCGCAGCTATGAATTTTGGAAAATTAGCTCGGCAGGAAGAAAAAAAAAAGGGCAACACAGATCGTATCTTGTTCATGCATAAAAGTAGCTAATCTGATAAATAATAATTGATTTTTTCAGGGCGAGTGATACTTAGCACTTTAAAAGATGTTTAAAATTTTAATTTATACTTCAAAAGATTAAAAATTTCACACTACGCTATAATCATATAAAGAAGTAGCAATGTGATATGTTTCATATGGTTTATTTTCTTATATGTCATTCACTGTATGCTTTCTTTAAGAAAAATTGGATTATAAATTATTATACATGGATCAGTAGTTTGATGGCATATTTTCACTACAGCCCTTATCAGTTCGTGTATTTATTTCACTCCATACTCTTGTGTGTATCCTTTGGCCACCAATGTGGCCTTCAACCTCTCAACTGTTCCATCAGCTTTTTGTTGACTTTATAGACCCACTTGTCGCCAACTATTGATTTTCCTAGTGGGCCCAAGTAACAAACCATTCTAGTATTATGATATTTTTTTGCATAGAGTTGCCAGCGGGGTTAAATTTTACTAAATAAGCGATAAGCTTTACTTTGAAAAAGAAGGAGCGCACTATGACATATTCAAAAAAAAAAAAACTCTCATGTGAAAGTATATAACTTATAGACTATGATTTTTTTTTTTTTACAATTTGATTGATTGGAACAACAATCTTAAGCAATGCTCGGTTAATTAATACGCTTTGTTTGTTGTCTCCCTTCGGACATACCCTAGGAAAGAACAACAAGAGTCAGCTCCCCCGAGAACAACTCCTATCTAATATTACATTTACAAAATTAAATTTTCAACTTATAAAATACAATAACGGTTAAGATTGATTTAATTTTCATTAGTTCGATCTAATGTTACAAAATTCATTTCAAATTTTTTTTTTTGCTAAAAAACTTTTTATTTTTTGCACGATCTTCAATGTCAAACAACTCAATCAACACGCTCTTTAATGTCTGACCCCACTAATTCACACATATCTCTTTCTTATTTTATCTCTATTAACTTCAATTTTAAATTACATAATTAAAGAAAAGAAAAAAAGAAACTGCTATTTAAAATATTGATGCGGTATAATTAATACTCAATTTTTTGTATTACAGATGATTTTTGATACGAATTATTGCTAGTTCATACATAAAATTCAATGATGGAATTGATATCACTGCCTGTCGCACGAATAACACCATTGTGGGTTAAAGAATAGGGAAATTTTGAGGTTAGTCTCCCTATATGGACTTATTTAGACTTAAGTCTGCCAATAAAACTTATTTATTATGAAATCCATTTTTTTATCAATTTTACCAGACTACTCATTCCCTTTATTAGTGAAGTAAAATTAAAAATTAAAAACTCATAAATTTTAAAAGTTTGACTAACGTTTAAAGTTTTTCTCTCTTATATCTATCTATATCCATATATATCTATATATATATATATATATATACACACACACACACACACAGTAACATTAAAAATTAAAATAGTAACATTCAAATACGAAAAAAAGTATAATTTAAACACAAAAAATAATACTATTTAAATACAAAAAATAGTAACATTTAAATATTAAAAAATTGTAATATTTAATATTAATATTTAAAAAAAATAACAATAGTAACATGTTTAACAAAAATAGCTAACATACTTAACAAAAATAGTAACATATTAAAAAAAAAATAATATGAAACATTGAACAAAATTAAAAATAAAAATAGTAGCATTCAAACTCATAACTAGATGAATAATACTCCAATTCTTTAGTATCCAAAAAAGTAACACTAAAAAAGTAATAACATGTTCATTAAAAAATAGTAACATGAAAAGAAAATAGTGATATGTGTTAGTAAATTATATTTTGAAATTAATGTTATTGAATTGATGTTACTATGCTAACATCAAGTACTTGCCGTGTACTATCCATATTACTTTTTCAAAATCTTGAGCTTGTACTCTAACTTCAACTTTCATCCCTTTCAAATTAGTCTCAAAACTTGAAAATCGATTATTTAAATGTATAACAGACAAAATAATGACTAAGAATTTGAATTTGAAATATTATGAAAAGCTTGTAATTGACAATTACCATCGTAAATGAATCAATTGCCTCCATATATAGCTCCTTGTAAATAATGTCTTCAACTTTTCATAACTAACAAAACTAACACTGTTAATGGTATTTTTGAGATTTAAAAAAAAGTGGACTTAACTTCTTACTAGTAAGATTAAAAATGGATTTACTTTCAAATAAGTTTCCTTGACGGACTCAAGTAATTATAAATCTATCTAGGAGGACTCATGATAAGAGCATAATATTTAATATTTCTAATTCCTTTATATTTAGTTTTATGACATATTTTCTGTTTAAGTGAGCTGATTAATATATTTATTGAATTAGGGAAGCATTGAAGGTAAAAAAAATAGATATGGAGTATTATTCTGCAATTTCAAGCATTTAGGCAGCTCGATCTGTGGAACTTCAATTGAGGTTTGGATGGCGCTAGAGTTTTAGACTGAGAAAGTGGTCTTCATGAAGGATTTAAAGGATATCTTAAGATTTTCAGAAAGGTATGGTTTGCAAAAATCCGAGTTTGTTGGGCCTCCAAACATTGTTTCAAAGTCGGACCTAGAAAGCTGATCCGAATCCTGATTGGACCAGTAAACTTCAGTGGGTCATAACTTGCTTTTCCGAAATCTAAATCAGGTGATTCAAAAGCCTAAATTTATCTACACATCCAGGGCTACAACTTTCATCAAGAACCCAAATCAAGATTCAGTCGTTATCTGATAGAAAAACAGCTCGCAATTTCTAGCAGGATTTCTGTCAATCTGTTTTGATAAGGAATACCTATAATGTAGGGATTTGAGTTGTACACATTTTTTTTGGGGGGGGGGGAAGTGTCATGTTTTCCAGAGGTATTTAAGGTTCCTAGAAGAAAAGAGAGAGACAGAAAGGAATTATTAGGGTTTTCTTATTCAAGTATGTCAGGCTAGATTTTTCAATTCAGTTAAAGGGAATTTCGAACCTTCGTTGCAGTTTGATGGTTGAATCAAATCAGTAACATTATTTCTCCATTTTCTTATGAAATCTATTTTACTTGTTTTATTGATATTTGGTTTGATTGATTTAATGAAGGCCTATTAAATTGATTAGATTATTACCAATTGCTAGATTTAGGAAGTATATTACGTAATTGATATTGTTCCTAATCAGTCGTAGCAAATAGTGATAGATGATTGTGGATAGGCTTTTGTTTATTGCTATGATTTTCATGAACTAAGTTAAACAATCCGAACTTGTGTGAGTGTTGCTTAGAATAATCTAATTTCTTTGATATTAATGTTGTCATTATATTAAATTTAAAGAACTTTTTTAAATTGTCTAATGGTTAGAATCTAATGAATAGCTTGCTTCATTAGTGAGGAATTAAGGGAAATTTCGGGTAGCAAAGCTTGATGTTACTTAGAATTATTAGATTCATTGAAGGGGTTTAATAATGTTATAGTTTATTGATTGTTCCATAAACTGCGAAGGTAAGATTGAACCGAAGAACTGAAGTTTTACTTCATTGATTTCTATTATTAATTTAGTTTTTAATCATAATTAGTTTGATCAGAATTCCAAGCCCCCCCCCCTTTATTGTTTTGTTATTAATTGAATTTAAGTTTAGAATTGGTCAGAATAAAAAAAAAAAAAATTGTAAACACTCTCTGTGGGTTCGACCCTTACTCATCTAGCTACTGTGTTTGTTTTTCTTTTATTGTGCTAAGAAGCAAAGTTAAATTTTTGGAGTGTTAATGACGTGCTTACAAAATTTGGCGCCTTTGCCAGGGAGTGTTTTTTGTTATTTTTTTTATTATTCTGCCTATTTTCTTATTTTTAATTCGTTGCTTTTAGGTCAATTTGTGTTTTAATTTCTATTTTTCAAATTCTAAATTTTTGGTAAATTTTCAAGGTGGTTCTGTTCATTTGGAAATTTGCAATTGAATTAGGTGACGAGTGAGTACTTGTTTTGAAGGAAACGACGATCTGTACAAGACTAGTCAATCCTTCTGGATTTACTAGCCCCACCCTCTCGGGGCCAAATTCCATCGTTTACTAGGGTTTTGAGCCACTTTTGTGTTTTTGGTTATTTATTATTGATTTTTCTGATTGATTTTTGCTTATTTTTATTTATTTTCTATTTTTTTTTGGTTAATGACTCAATCTTCTCTATCTGATGAATTAAAATTGATCCAGAGATTGAGAAAACCACACAAAAGTTGAGAAAAGAGACTTGACAAGCTCGAATTGCAACTACAAATTCTGAAAAAGCTATTGTTGCATCACCTGGTCTAAACATAGCACTTGAATTACTTTCTAATAGTTCATAAAGTGATTCAGAAGAGGAAGATATGGTTGATCCTAATAATAATAGGGCTGCAAGGACTTTGAAGGAGTTGGCTGCTCCTAATCTAAATCAACAGCCATTGTGTATTGAGTATCCTGATTTAACTGCTGCTTTTGAATTGAAATCAGGACTAATACATCTTTTGCCTACCTTTCGTGGTCTTACAGGTGAAGATCCGTACAAGCATCTGAAGGAATTCCATGTGGTATGTTCTAGCATGAAGCCTCAAGGAATAACAGAGGAGCAGATAAAACTTAGGGCTTTTCCATTCTCATTGGCAGACTTGGCAAATGATTGATTATATTACCTTCCTTCCGGATCGATCCAGACATGGAATGAGATGAATAGGCTATTTTTGGAAAAATATTTTCCTGCTTCTAGAGCTGCTAATATAAGGAAAGAAATATGCAACATCAAACAATATAATAGAGAATCTCTTTTCGAGTATTGGGAAAGGTTCAAGAAGTTATGTTCAAGCTGTCCACCACACCAAATTGATGATTAGCATTTAATTCAATATTTTTATGAGGGGCTATTACCAATGGATAGAAGTATGATAGATGCTGCTAGTAGAGGAACACTGGCTGATAAGACCCCAGATGCTACTAGGAATTTGATTTCAAACATGGCAACCAACTCACAGCAGTATGGAACCAGAATGGAGCATACACATAAAACGGTGAATGAGGTAAGTACTTCTAACATTGAATGTCAAATTTCTGATTTAACTACTATGGTTCGTCAAATGGCTATAGGGAACATGCAAGCAGCAAAAGTGTGTGGAATTTGTTCATTGTTAGGACATAATACATATGCATGTCCAACATTGCAAGAAGATGAAACTGTTCAGCAAGCTAACGCAGTGGAAAATTTCCCAGGACAACCCCAGCGTCGATATGATCCCTACTCTAATACTTACAATCCAGGATGGAGAGATCATCCTAATTTGAGCTATGGAGGAAATAGGCAGTCAATGCAGAATGCTTTTCCAAATAAGCAGCCCGATTTTCAACAAGTTCAACAACAGTATCCACCTAAACAAGCGACTTCTTTCAATTCTGGAACATCTCTTGAGGATATGTTTAAAACTTTCATGATCCATACGCAAAAATTCCAACAAGGGACAAAGACTTCAATACATAATCTAGAGAATCAGGTAAGTTAGCTTGCTACCACAGTTGGTCAATTGGATTCTCAAGGTTCAGGTAAGTTACCTTTTCAAACTATTATTAATCCAAGAGAGAATGCAAGTGCTATAACATTGAGGAGTGGTAAACAATTGGAAGTACCAAAATCCACCGATGTAGTTGTTGAGGAGGAGACTAAGAAGGAGGCAGAAATATCTAAGATAATTCCTAATCCTTCTATTCAAGTTAAGACTAACCCCTTACCTTTTCCATACAGATGTGCAAGGTCTATGAAAGAGGAGCAAGAGAGAGAAATTTTAGAGACATTCCGCAAGGTAGAGGTAAATATTCCTTTACTGGATGCAATTAAGTGAGTGCCAAGGTATGCAAAGTTTTTGAAAGAATTATGCACTAACCAGCGGAAATTAAGAGATGATGAGAAGGTAAGTGTGGGGGAGAATGTGTCAGCAGTTCTTCAAAGAAAGCTCCCCCCTAAGTGTAAAGATCCTGGTATGTTCACCATTCCATGTAGAATAGGTAATATTAGATTTGAAAGAGCCATGTTAGATTTAGGAGCTTCTATTAATGTCATGCCACGATCTGTTTATGCATCTTTGAATCTAGGTTCTTTGAAAAAGACTGGTGTTATTATACAGTTGGCTAATCGTACTAATGCATATCCTGAAGGGGTGATTGAGGATGTGTTAGTGCAAGTGAATGAATTAATATTTCCTGTGAATTTTTACATTGTGGATATGGATGAAGATATATATCCACAATGAGTGCATTTTATGCTCTATCTCACTTCTATTAAGCGAGTGCATTTTACGCTTCATCTTGACTCCTTTTGAACGAGTGCGTTTTACGCTCTATCTCTTTCTCAACATGTGTTTATAAGTGAATGTGTTTTACGCTCCATCTCTACTCACCACACGCCCCTCTTTTGTCCAATTCAGGAAGGTTCAAATCAAAATACTTGTTAAAAAAAATTTCTCCTTTTTTTTTCGAAGAACCCATCATATCCAAGATTTCTCCCAAACTTATATGAATGCCTAAATTTTGTTTTGAACGATGCTTAAATAATTTTTCTAGAGTTTCAATGATATCTCCAACAAGCACTTTGCCAAATAAATTCTCTAAAATGATAACTAACCAAACAAATGGATATGAGCTCATGTGTGAAAAAGGATCACAAATGATGTAAAACGTACTAGTTCATCAAAATATAAACTAAACATGTTCATCAATTTCTCTTGAATTAATAATTAATCACATTCTTATCACTGCCCATAATCAAATTCAATCAACCCATTACTCAAATATTATTAAAACATACTATCTAGCTGCAAAACATGACTCACACAAAAATACATCTCCCAAGCTTAAACTAAATATTGTCCTCAATGTATAAAATATGAAGAATTAAGATAGATGACTCCCCTGAAAACACACTAGTTAGTATCATCAACGTCCTCATCGTCCGCTGAGTTAGGAATGTATTTAGAAAACATTGGTGGACTAGGAAACTGTAGTGGAGGTGTGCCCAAGTTGAAACCACAGTTAGTAAACATCTATGCTAGCATGAAATTGAACTCCGTTGATTACTCCATGAACAAGTCCAATCGATGTGCAAGTGATCATTGCGTCTAGACTAACGTCGAGATTCCCTACGTAACTCTTGAGTATCCCTGCATAACTCTTGTGTTTCTCAACGCAATCCATGCATCTCATCCATTAGACTCTCCATAGGTGACTGAGATGAAGCAACAGTGGGCTAGGAAGGCTCCGATGGTCCCCTATCATCCTGAGGCATATCAACCACAACATAGCTGACACCCCTATAATCAGAAAAACCATCGTTCAACACCTTAAAGCGACTGATAATTTGATGGTCAATTAACACTTTTGGGTGTTCAACAAACTCATCGTCAATCCATGTGAATTTTGCCTTCTTTCAAAGTCCACAAATTAATGATGGATGTGGCATCCCACTAGTTGAACTCTCCTTAATAGCATGCATGATCGAGTCCTAAATAACTTGGCCCACATGAATGATTTTTCCTTTAACTATGCAATAAAGCAGTACTGCCCTATCCTTGAGTACATCAATAATGTCTGTGGTTGGCATTAGCTTGGCACATATAAAGTAGTACCATGCATTTCCAAACTGGCTCAGCTCGTTGTGTGAAAAGTGAAACATCTCAGTTCCATTTAGCGTCCACTCAGCACCCGGCCTACATAGACACCTAATCACCTCGGCTAAGTCGAGTTCTTCAGTTTTGTGTTTCTTATACTCATCGTCATTTGACATATTCTTTATGTTATTATAAGCGTTGATGCGTGCCTTGTCAAACGACACTGTTTTTCCCCGAACTTGAACCACATGGTTTTCGGCCTCTTTGGCATTGGCATAGGCATAAAACTCTTTTACAATGGGGACTAAGGCGGCCTCCAGTTGTGTTGTGAAGTCTAACCAACCCCGCTCCATAATCAAGTCATACACGTAACCATCATGTATCTCATCAGGGCGAAGGCCTCATTCGGGAATAAATGCCTTTCTCGCCAACAATGTATGAAATCACTTCGAAGCTACTTTACTAATAAACCTCTTTTTGTCATATGGCTTGGAGGATTTAGAGCTTTCATCTCTCTCGCATTTTGAAGACATGATGAATAATCAGTTATGTAGCCCACCAAAGCCAAAAATCAAGTCCACAAAGTACATAGACTAGTCAACTAATATTTGTCTCTACTTAAGCAATTTATAAAACTGACCTCGTATGCAATGCCCAACTCTTCATCAATAAGCCTTCCCAAATGTTAGAATCTCCACTATATAAACCACACAACGATCTCCCACAAACATTTCAACAAGATGAATCTTTACCAATTGCGAAGGAATAAGTTTGTTACCTTACTTTGCAAAGATTTGACATTGTGGTGATGATGGAAGAACTCTTGTTTCTACTTGTTACTAAATTATGCAACTTGAGATGACAGATTGTCATATGTAGGAGATTGGGAAATCCAATTTGATGATTAAATGGAATTATGATTGATTAGGAATTGGAGAGAAAAGGTTTTAGTGCTTTAAAATTTAGAAGGAGTAAGAGTTAATTTCGTGTGTCCCAAATCCCTGAGTTTAGCATTGCTGCCCTGTTTTAATTTCTGAAGTCAGTGTGCAGCGTTGCTGCTCTTTTGATAGTGCTAAGGCGTTGTTTAGTCAGAAGGCTAGCGCTAAGGTGTTGTGGATAGCGCTGCAGCACTGCGTTTGCAGTAAGTTAGTGCTGAGGTGCTGTGCTCTAGCGCTGCGATGCTACATTTATAGTATGTTAGAGCTGCTACTTTATAGAGTAGCGCTGCTACGCTATGTTACTGGGCTTGACTCATAGTTTAGACTTTGTGAATGCTCCATTTTTTATGTTCGATCCTTGGTACCTGCAAGCAATGGACGCAACTAATTAAAATGAAATAACTATCCAATATTATAAATTCTCATAAAAACTATATTGAAATAAAATAAAAAAATAAAAAATAAAAACTAAAATTTGGGTTACGTCCCAATTAGCACTTGTTTTGTAGTCTTTAGCCTGACTACTTCATGTCTCATTCCGGGTTGGCAAGGGTAATTGAGGTCTTTTGACGATCAATTTTGCCGCCCCAATAGTGCTTCAACCTCTGCCCGTTCACCTTGAAATTTCTCTTTGAGTTGGCTTCCTCGACTTCAACTGCTCCATGTGGGAACACCTTAGTAATAAGGAATGACCTTGACCACCTTGATTTGAGTTTTCCTAGGAAGAGCTTTAACCATGAATTGAAAAGGAGTACATATTGACCTGGCTCAAACTTCCGCTCAATGATCTTCTTATCGTGCCACCTTTTTATCTTCTCTTTATATAGCCTGGCGTTCTCGTACGCTTGGAGATAGAACTTATCCATCTCATTCAACTGCAAGAGAAGCTTATCACCCGCTGCATGCAAGTCAAAGTTAAGTTTTCGAATAGCCCAGTATTCATTATGTTCCAATTCTACCGGTAGATGACAAGTCTTGTCATATACTAGCCTATATGGTGACATCCCAATTGGTGTTTTGTATGCAGTTCGATAGGCCCACAAGGCATCATCAAGCTTCTTCGACCAATCTTTTCGGTTGGGATTTACAATTTCTCCAAAATCCATTTCACCTCTCTATTTGAAACTTCTACTTGGCCACTAGTCTAAGGGTGATAAGTTGTGGCAATATTACGGGTGACTCCATATTTAGCGAGAAGGGCTGCAAAATATTTATTACAAAAATGTGTACCTTCATCGCAAATGATCACTCTCGGTGTACCAAACCTCGTGAAGATGTTTTTCCGGAGAAAATTCAACACCACTTTTGAATCATTAGTAGGCAAAGCAGCTGCTATAACCCACTTCGAGATGTAATCCACCATAACTAGTATGTAGAGGTTATTGTAGGATGACGGGAACGGGCCCATGAATTCTATACCCCAAATGTCAAAGATCTCAACCTCCAAAATACCGTTAAAGGGCATCTTGTGTCGCTTTGAAATATTTCCAATTCGTTGACATCAGTAACATTCGTCAAGGGAATTTGGATGGTTTAAACAACCTTATATCAATCCTTCTTTATATGAATTCGATTTTATTTAAACAACTGAAATTAAACTATGATATTACTAATTTAAAACTAAATTTAAAATTACTAAACAAGAACTGATTTCACCAAATAAAAGAATTTAAGATTACAACTTTCTCTAATGCTTTGTATAAATATTTTCACTCTCTTTTCAGTTAATTAATCAAAACAAGTTGTTAACTGAAACTTCAAAATTATTTATTAAACCTCTTCCGATGGTTAGATAAAAATATCTCAATTAAATCACTATATTCCTATGCAAGATAAATTGGAACAGATTCATTAAGCTAAAAGTCTCATAAAAGTTACACACAGTATATAGGTATACCCCTATCTTATACACAAACCTAACTATTCAACCTTAAGAAGGAATAACTAGACGCATGTTATCATATTCAGATCCAAATCCTAGAATTCATCTTCCAATCTCATCTAGGAAATCAAATTAATTACTGGCCAAGCAATCAAATTAAGCACAAAATATGATAAACAACTTATATATGACCAATAATAACTGAAAACGAGAGTAAATTAATTTAACTAAACATTAGGTTCCATTACAATCTTAATAAAAATTTAGTTCATAATGTAATTGAAAAACACCATCCTCAAATTAATCAATATCTCAAAAAATCAAAAAACTAAAAGTAAGAGAAAAGAAAAAAAAAATTGTGTTGCAATTTTCTATCCCTCTCTCTAACCTTCAATTCCGATCTTCTTCGTGATGCTTCATTCCTTCACTTTACTCTCAATCCTTCATAGCAACCCCTTCTTAACAGTATATACATATCTTTACTCAGACTTTATCATGTGTGTAACATTAGAGTTCAATTTCTACTCAAAAACAAGTCAGAATCCGCGTCCCACACTTAAGCCTGCGCCACAACGCTGCCCTTTTGCGCAAAAGTGCTCTCTTTTTGCCCCTCCAGCTCCACGGCACTACAACCAGAGCTGTAGTGCTAATCACCTTCATGTGCGTAGCTACCTTTATTGCTTAGTCCACCAATAATCCAAAGCTTAGGCTTCCATAGGACATTTTTCCTTCCAAATCAAGATCCCTACAAAACAAAATTAAAACAACCAAAATGAATAAAAAGGAACATAAAATAGTTGAAAACTCGCAATGTTATCAAACCAAGAATACTCAAGTTGTAGGTATAAAACTCACTCATCAGTAACAATCAAGTGCAAAATAGTAACATAGAAAACTGAAATAGTTACAAAAGAATTAACGAAACAGTTACAGTGGTCTGAACGAAACAGTTACACGTAACTGTTTTGTCAAACCAATATAAATACCGACTCTGCAGCAAACCAGGAACTGAGATTGAATTTTTTGCAGATCAAGGCTAGTGTTTGACACTTTGTCCTGAAGACAAATTTTGCCTCCACACACGATGCTTATGAAATATAAAGCATTTGCCTCTCAAGATACAATTATCTTCACAAGAGTAGAAGCAACACTCCAATCTACTCTTCCAACGAACTAGAAATTTTTTTCTGTAGACTGCCTTAATACCAAAGTGTAATGCACTAATTCCTACCTTATCTCTAAAAATGGACTAATTAAATGATGCAGAATGGTAATGAGAGCCTGGGTATTTATAGACAGTCTGGTGACTGTTCCGGACAACCACCATGCGAAAATACACAACCCAAAAGACACATGCAGCCAAAGACACCACTTGTGTAACTGTTCTCTATAAATGGACATAACTTAGAATTTCAGGAAGGAAGTTACAATCCGAACTAGTACGAATTCAAATCTAATGGGTATCGAAATTAAATTCCTGATTAAGATATTCACGCCCAATTTATTAAATAAATTTTCTCTAAAAAGATTGAGTTTAGTCTAAACCACACCCACACCAGTACCCATCGGGTCGGGTCGTGGTTAGCAGGCGCACGCTTGTTGTAGACGCTCCCTCCGTTCATAAAATTGTGGTATTTCTTGGGGGCCCAATCTCAAAGAATAAATTTGGCCTATATTTGTCCATGTAGAACTTCTTCCTAAACCAATATAGGATTGGTGTCAAATCCCACATTGCACAACCTCTATTTTCATATTTCAAGAGGGTCATTTTAGAGCTTATTTTCCAATTCATTTTTTACTCAATTTGAGCAAACGAATATACTACATTATTCTTCTTACGAAGTAGAACATGAACTCACAGAAATTTATTTGAAACAACGAGTGGGTCTCACTTTATTTTAGACTCAAAGTCGACCAAAAATTCAGTTTTTAAACTTAAAAAACTATTTTGGTCCAACATGACTATCTATCTATCCATAGTTGTGCATTGAATTTCGATTTTGGGATCCCTCTGAGATTGACTGTTCGAGTGAATTAATTGAATATAAATTAACATCAATCTTCATGGATTTGAGGGATTGTGGTGATTGAAAGGGCTTCTCATCATTAATTGTTATATTTTATTGAGAAGAGATAATTGTGGTCGATTATGATTCAATTGATAATCAATTGAGTTTAAAATTGAAAACTATATTCACACCCTCTAGGTATAGTGTTTATTGCTCCACGTATATAATCGTGAGGGAAGATCCACATCGGGTTCCTTCCAAAAACAACAATGTTTTTGTTTTTGATTTCTTGGGGGCAATGTAGATGACCACCATTCTATCATCTCTCTCTCTCTCTCTCTCTCTCTCTCTCTCTGTTATCGGTTACTACAATTTGTCTAATGTGTCCTTTCTTTCTGTGCTTTAATTTTGTAGGTTGTCTCTAAATTTTTCTTCACATGCTCCACATGCACAAGGTATCCTACTTTTTCATAAGTTTTTATTAACTTTCCCACAAGTGGTTCATAATATTGGAAAATGCTTCTACATTATTTTGATATCTTGTAAGCTATCAATAATACTCTATTCAAGCAATGGGTTAGTTATAATTGACAACGAACTAGGTATCATTGGGTGCACTGCAACTTTGGTTTATCACACGTAGAAAAGAGAAAATAAACTTGAAACCTTATTGCTTTGATATGCTTTATTACTAACTGTAACATTTATCACAGGGTGCTCCATAGCAGATACACACAGTTGGATATTAGTAGATCTAATAACCCAATTTTTTTTTTAGATAATTTTTTTATGGCCTTAATTTAATCAATAATTTAAATAGATAATTTTAGTTTGGTGTTAAACAACATTTGGCTAATGGTTGTGAGGCACACATGTCGCATGATGGTTTGAGTCATGTTTCTTTAAATAGAGATTTGTACCCATTACTTATTTGATTTTATAAATTTTTTACATAAGTTGATATTATTTATGTCATATTTTTAGATGGAACACCATCGATTTTTTTTAAAAAAAATAGTAGGTTCATGTTTATTGGCAATTTTTTTTCTTCATATTATACAGTGCCTTTAATTATGAAAATTGCTTTCAATTGTTTATTTGTTACGTAATATTTTCAGCCACGACAAATAAGCATTAGCATATCAACTCTCCAAGCGTCACAACAACAATGCAATCGAGATCAAGTTTTAAAGATACTTTCAATGAACTTCTAGAACTAAAGTCAATCACTATGTTGGTGCATAGTTTTTGTAAGGGGTAGAACCCTCTACTAAGGATTTCGGTTTGACCTGGGTTAACCCACGTGGGCGACCCCCCAGTAGTCTTTACCTCTCTTCGCCAATAGGACCCTTTCCTAAGGCAATCCCACATCGGAAGAAAGTCGTCTCCCCCCTGCCATATAAGTGAACACTTCCTATGGATGAGGTA